AAACAGCAGCAGTGGCGTGATACGCCAACGTACGCAGTAAGCATATCGCCGCTGTAGAGATCGGTGCACAAAGAGCATGGCATGGATCAAGGAGCTTATAAATGGAAGCTCCTCGATGAAAATTACGCGCGAAGTTCGCGGCAAAGGTTCATGGTAGCTAATATATATTAGCAAGGAGTGGATAATAGAAATCTGCCTATATCCACTCTTGATATTATCTACATACATAGGGTCCGTGCGTGGGTAGCACGCGATCGTTCTGCGTAGATGGTTGTATTCCATTATACTTTATAATCGTTTACATTCTTAGCTTATTATATACCATAGACACCCGCAACGCAATCTCACGCATCGCACGCACGCACGCACGCACGACGCACGCATACGCTACGCACATACACACACACACACACGACACACCCACACACACGCACACACCACACCCATGTACACACACACACACGAATCGACACAACGCACGCACGACACCACACACACTCACACACACATTCACAACACAGCACAACCACACCCACACTCACAACACACACAACACACCCAACAGTGTCCCACACACACACAGCACACACACACACACACCACAGCACACACAAACCACACACACATCACCACAACACACACACACACACAACACACACACACACCACAACACACGACCCCATCGACACACAACGACAACACACACACCACACACACACACACACACAACACACAACACACACACACACACAACTTGGTGATCGCAGCTATTTTTGTGATATCAGATTACTTTTGTACCACGAGTGTTAAAAGGTTGTCATGCAGTCGCTGTTAGTAAAGTCTACAGTAGCAGTTAAGCACGAGATTACATGAGCTGTACTCTATATATATATACTGCTAAACGGAGAAAGCTACTCAGACGGTTGAATAATTTAAATGCAATCTCATCGGAAATCACGCATATACACACATATCCATCGCTTGCTCGACAGATATTATTATCATCGGTTTACGTTTTCGGTTATTCTCTGTATGAATTAAGCGTAGTCGTAGCTTAACAGTTATTTACACGTTATATTGTAGAAATATTGAAACTGACTAACTATTCTCCACGCGCGCGCGCTCTGTCTCTCTCTCTCTCTCTCTCTCTCTCTCATCTCTCTCTCTCTCTCTCTCTCTCATTCTCTTTCTGTCATCTTGACGCGCGGCGCTCTCTCTCTCTCTCCTCTCTCTCTTTCTCTCTCTCTCTCTCTTCTCTCTCTATTTCTTTCCCTCCCTCACGCTCGCTCTCTCTCTCGATCCTTTCTCTCTCTCTTTCTTCCGCTCCCCTCACGCTCTCTCATCTCTCTGGCTGCTCTCTCCTCTCTCTCTCTCTTCTCTACTCATCTCTTCTCGTCTCTGTCTCCCTGCTCTTTCACCTCAACTCCGAGGGCAATGGAGCATGACAAAATAATTGATGACGCGTAGCAGATTTGCCCAAGGTCAGTTAATTCCAGTATAACCTATACATAGAGAAAGGAATGAACGATGTAGTGGGCAGGGCACGTCAAGCGCCTAACGCAAAAGATATATATTATAGCACCAATTTCATATGTTTACAGTTTACCACGGAAGGTTTCTCAGATAACAGACCAACGGGGTCATTCTAAAGTCGAAACACATGAGGAGGCAGAAAGAGGTGACCTTCACATAGAATTTAATTCGCGCCCTTTTCTGCTGAAATTCCGGCGACAGACACTGCATCTTGTGAAAACAACGAACCCAGATGCAATCACACGATTCTACTTAAGCGCGTCGCCGCACAAATGCATCGCTATCAAGTTACAGTGGGCCTATAGCAAACATATCCGCATCTACAAACCGCCCTATCAAAATTAATCTACATGCCTAAATATTAGAAAGTGTCAATATATAGATCTTATATTAGTATTATGCAATTATATATATACACGTGTGCCCATCTATTTTTATATACTATCAGGAGTAGATAATAGGGAAATTAAGAATTTAATAGATTAAAGGAAACTTAGATTTTAATAGGGAAATAGATAATTCCCTATTATCTACTCCTGATACTATCTATTAGTCCCCAAAAAACCACAGCTACATGTAATCTAATTTCCCACGAGACCATCGAATTAATCACAATTTTGGTGCCCGCGATCAATTTGCCTAATATACCGACATCTGGCTAATATGTTAGAAACATCCGCGTCATAATTAATAAACCCACATACGGCCGGCGCGCTCATGATATTACACGCCCGCGCCCACGCGAAAATAAGCTAAATTACATCCCCTGAACATATGCCGCGCAATCCAATAATGTCCTGCATCGATTAGCTATCCGTAATTTCATAATGTACGACATAAATATCACGAATTATGCCATAGATCATTAAATTTGATATGGTAGCGGGGACCTAACGTGCCTTATATATTTCACGATGCTACCTTACTATAATTGTCAGTGAACATTTTAGCCTCCGGGTTCTGAAAGTGATTTCCATCGTTTG